CGCTCGAAACCCTCTACCGCAGCCTGCCTAACGATGTATTCCGGAAGCGAGTTCCAACGTTCAATAGCTCGACGCGACAAGCGAGTTTCCGTCCTTACCCGGTCAGAACGCTGTTTGTGCAGCTTCAACGGTTGACCTCGGAGACTAGGCAGCTTGGCGGGACTAAATAGCCAGGACACGTCTGGACCGATCGTACCCGTTAAGATACGGTAAGTGAGGATCAAGTCCCCTCTAAATCTGCGGTAGTGCATATAGTACACCCCCAAGTTAAGTGAACGCTTGGGTTGCGTTTGCCCCCGTAATCCTTGCACTAACCTTGTACCCACTCACCCAACCTCTCCAGTTCCATTTTGCCCCTTACAAGCCATGGTAGACAAGCCTGGATACAGTACTCTACGTGAGGTCGCACAAAAGCTGAGAACAGCTTCACAGATATTGGCCGTTAGGACACCAAAGGAGCGGCGAATAAACCACATCATACGGAACCCTCTACAAGCAGCCTTCCTCCAATTTTCCCCAGAGTGAAGCAATGAGGTATGGGTGATACCTAGATCAACCTGCAGAATGACAACAGAGAGTGCAGTTCCACTAACTACATGGCGCGTGGGAGGACTAGCGCCTCCAATGCGGAGGACAGAACAGTTCGCCTAATTTATTGGCATCAAGCTTAATGTTGACCAATCCCAGAGACTATCCAAGGCACACTAAAGTGCCACAGAGCCACCAGGGATATCCACAATATTCCAGAGCTTAAGGTCATCAGTAAACAATAGCGACGGCACTTCAAGCTCCTGGGGTAGGTCATTGACATAAATTGCGAAAAGCAACAGCTCTAGAACCGAGCCCTGCGTAACGCCACTAAGAAAGTTGGTCTAAGCGAAAAGCTACGCCTCACGCGTACACACTGGTCTCTGCCCTCTAGGAAAGCAGAAATCCATTTAAGAGCGGCTCCAGGTAACCCATACGATCTCAAATTCAATGAGAGTTGTTGATGTGTGACAGTATCAAGTACTTTCGAGAAGTCAACGAAAAAGGCGTCGATAGCGTGGCCGTTACCTACTGCTTCAGCCCAGCTTTCACGGGCTACAAGTAAAATTATGAGACATGAAAATCCGTTAGGTAATCTGTGCTGTACCGCACTGAGAAGCTTAAACATAATCATGTGATTCTTCACCGAATCGCTGACAAATTTTTCAAACAACTTAACTACTACGCTTGTTAAGTTGGCAGGCCGGTAGTTCTCGGGCAGAGCACTGCCCCGCCCTTAAAAATCGGACAGGTGGTGTCTTATTTCATTCCGAAGGTAAGACACAGCTGTCGAGTGATATCGTGAACACGCATGTCAGATGGTCACTTAGTTCAGCGGCCAATTCATGCATCAGCTTCGGATGAATTGAATCAGGGTCAGAAGCTTTGGAAGGATTTAGCCCTTGCAATAGCCCGAAGACTTGTGTCTCCGTAATGCTGATTTCAGTCGGGCAAGAATCCTCTGGAACTTGTGACCAGTTCAACCCGTGGTAGAGAGGCCGCATGAGAAAAAATACCAGTATACCGTTCGCTAACTATACAATCAGTATCATAGTCGGTATGCCCATAGGTCCCGTCCGTCATTATACACGTCAGCTAAAGGTGGTAAAACACCTCTGCTATTGTACCCCAATACATAAAGGAAATACATATATGCATACATGGTTGGCGGCATCCGGTTCGGATTTGCCTGTCACTGTGGCAAGCCACAGGACGCCTGCGCCTACAGAGGGACCATGGATGGCTTGCGCTGCACCACCCACAGCTCCAACCACATGCCCCATTTCCAGTGTAAACCCGAAGGAATAAGACAAGGAGGCATGTGAATGGGAACCACGTTTCATCAACGGAGCCGGCCCACACTCCTTCACAGGCAAACACAAGCACACTGTATTTGGGGAAACAACCGCACACAAGGCGGTGGCTGGACCGTAGTCCGCTCCACACTGACTGCATGGAACCACTCTTCGAGCCTAACACGGCCACAAGGACCGTGCACCCCGTCCCCTCCAGCAACGACCAGCTGTCTCCTGGAGCCAGTATGGACGAGATAGTGGGTAATAGACAGGTAGGCACCTTGTCAACATGCACATCAAGCGCAGCCACACCGGGGATATCAAACAACAACCAAACACTTGAGAGAGAGAAAGAAAAAGAGAAATACTCGATTAATGCATAAGGAAACGGTGATATAAACCTTAATTAAATAGCATATGTAATAAGTTGTTTACAAACAAATCCTAGCTAAGTGCACGAGGTCACTAAGTATAGTTCACGGAATGCCACGAACACAAATATGCTACGGAGATCGAATACAATTGGCTTAGGCGAGGTGTGCAAGTTAATGGAATATAGTACTGGTAGACATTTATATGAGAAAGAAAAGCATTAAGGTAAAAACTGTAAACCCACCACCTGAAATAAAGAGACTTAGCATGCAAGCACGCGGTTAGTAAATCGAATTCAACGTGCCTACAAACGCTGCGCCGGCTCGCCGTAATTCTCTGCAGGACCCGTCGTCGCTTCTCTAGTGGCCCCAAATGGCACAGCTCATGGCACACTAGACATTTATATGAGAAAGAAAGGCATTAGGAGAGAATCGCAAACCCACCACCTGAAATAAAGAGACTTAGCATGCAAGCATGCGGTTAGTAAATCGAATTCAGCGTGCCTACAAACGCTGAGCCGGTGCTGCATACGTTCACTGCTGGACCCGTCGTCGCTTCGGCAGTGGTCCCGAGTGACCTCTCTCATGGCTCACTAGGCCTGCCTGACTAAGGCACTCGCGACCGCATGTTCTACAGCACAATGCGCTCGATGTCGATGGAGTACAATTCATTGGTGCTTGCCGCTTCCGCAACTGCCGCTTCTTCTCTGCATGCATGAGGGATTTCTCCCGCACTTCAGCAACTGCCTTCGTGATTAGATCGTGCCATGCACCACGATCAACCGCCTTCGATTCCCATGATCTGCAATCAAGATTAGAACGTGTGAGGCTCACTTTGATCATGTCCTGGTAACGTAACTTTGGTTTCCCCCACGTGCCGCTTCCCTATACTCAGCTGACCGTATAAAAGTTGTTTCGGTATTCGCGTCGAATCCATACGGCTCACATGACCGAGCCATCTCAGGTGTCGCAGTAAAAGTATGCAGTCCACTGCATACATCCCACTTCGGCGCAACACTTCCGTGTCTGCAACTCTGGCGCCCCAACCGATCCGCAAAATTCGTCGCACACACTGCTGATGGAACCGCTCGAGATATCGCACATCCCGACGGTACATCGTCCACGTTTCACTGCCGTATAGAAGACGGACAGTACCATGGATTTGTACACCATCAGCTTCGTGCCAATGCTAAGCTGATGGTTGTTCCACACTCGGTACTCAAGCTTCCCGAATGCCGCTGCCGCCTTCGACACGCGATTACGCAACTCAACGTGTAGCTGCTGATCAGTCGATATCACACTCCCAAGGTAGCAGAAGCGGGAGGTGGTTTCCAATACTTCAGCACCAATGCTGATTTGCGGCAATATTGAAGATTGCACCTCCGGTGAAGGCTGAAACAGACAGACAGTTTTGCTTGTGTTGATGGTGAGCCCGAATTTGGCCGCTGTCGAAGCCAGAGCACTAGTCATGTGCTGCAACTCATCCGCGCTGTGTGAAAACAACGCACAGTCGTCAGCAAACAGCAACATACGGATAGTTGTCTCACAGACTAGAGTTCTCGCACCGAAACGACGGATGTTCAGCAACATA